CAGCAGGATTTTGGAGGTTAGCTCTCTCGCCGTGTTACCCCCTCACTTCTTCATTTGGAAGTGCGTTAGCACTGAAGTTGGAGCACAATGTTTTTATCAGGAGTAAAGTGGAGAACCAGTTTGGACAACAGATGTTGTCTGCTTCTGTTCCCCAGAAACAAGGATTTCCAGGAGGTGACACTGGAGAAGGATGGCGTGGTTCTGCTACAGTTTGCCTTGGCTTATGGATTTCGGAACATACAGAATTTAGTGCAAAAGCTGAAGCGAGGAAAGTCACCGTACCATTATGTTGAAGTCATGGCTTGCCCGTCAGGTAAGGCTACCCAGAGATTAAGTGGCTGGCTTTGAAGTTTACTATACGAGACTTCGGAGGTTATCTGAAATGGAGAGCTGGACAGGAGCCTGAATGTCTGTCGGGGTATGGTGATTAGAGGTAGTTAGTGAGGCTAGTTCCTTGCAAGTTACTTTACAGTCATGATTGAACCTATATGTCAGCACTTGGTGCAGTACTCCAAAAAAACCTCCCAGCTTTGTAAACCTCTGGGCACTCGATAGAACTCATGCTATGTTACCTCCTACGTTGGGCAAAAATGAGTCACGGGCATAGCTTAAAGAAAGGCAATGACTTCTAGGGACACGAGAACCTTCTTTCTAGGAGTATCAGTCATTTACTTTCCTCCATCTTCACAACATGCAACCTCCTAGGTCTTTTATACCATCCCCTCTACAGGCCTGCAAAGGGTTAGAAGAATCAACATTTAGAAAAGTATCAAACAGCTTTGCATAGCAGTCTCTTACCTTTCTGGTGTTAGGAGTTGCCACCTTATCCTCTGGGTTCAGAGTGCTGGATTCAGCCTTCATCCACCCATCTGCGAGAAGCCCAGAGCAGACAGCGGTTCTGATTGCAGCCCATCCCCGAGAGGAGTAAGCTGTTCAACGCTGAGCAGCTGGTTGCAGGATACCACCTAGATAGCATACAGCTGACCAGGAGCAGTAAAACCAGAGCAATCTCAGGCCTTCTCCCATTGCCTCTCACTGCTGTTTCGTGTAGGCATTCATCACCTCCAGTGTTTAATTAACATTGTGGCAGTCTCTTTTTCAGTTCATTTGCTTTCCAGGCTCCAAATAAGAGCCACAAGTTCCTGCTCCCTCCCTACTCTCTCAGTGTGAAACAGGAAGGTTTAGAGCAGTCTCTTTTCCCCCCATGCACTGTTGTCCACCTTATAACTCCTTCATGCTTTGCTGCACTAGGATTGAGCCCTGCCTGACCTATAGAGGTGCAGCGTCCACCTTACTATAGGATCAGATCATTGCGGGATGAAAGCTAATCAATGAAATGAGGTTTTCTTGTGGGAGGCCTTACATTGCTGCTCTCAGCTGTATCGTGTTTGCATCATTGGGCTTTAATTGCTCTTGGGTAAGCTTTGACGACTAGGTTTGGAAGTGATTTCAGCTTTTATTTTCTCATCTGTTTGCTCCCAGGCTGTTTAAATGGCGGCGGTCAGCTCCGAGCTGAAGGCGAACCCAGCAGGGAGTTACTTCAGCAAGTCGAGCAGTTGTATGAGTCTGTCAGGACTGAAACTCCGGAGGCAAATGGCAGCGTACAGGAACTGTATGAACAGTGGCTGGGTGGCACAGCCTCTGATAAGGCAGGGAAAATACTGCATACAGAGTACCATGCTGTGGAGAAAATGAGCACTGGATTTAACATCAAATGGTGAAGAAGCGTCTGACCTGTGTGACTGCCAGTCTTTGAAACCAAGGCATACTTATTACTCAGATCCTTGTGAAATCCTCTGAAGCCAGCGCACGCTCTAGAGACTTCCCTCACCGCGACTGTGTGCATACAATTTGATTAGGATGTAAATGGTATGATTAACTCGTTTTTAGAGCTCTGAAGGATATTTACATGGTCTGAATGGGAAAAGGTGTCTGACACGTCTTTTAAAACAGAAGCAATAATGTCTATTAGCCTCCGGGTCCTCCTTGTCAGCCCAAGCCTGCATTCATTTCACTTTCCCATCCCTGTTGAAGCCAATGCAGGAGTAGCCGTGGAGTCAGCTGTGGATGTTCTTGATGCCCAGATAAAATATTACCAGGCCAAGACCTGAATGTCACATCTGCTGTATTTTCACAGCATGAAGCTGTATAACTGTGGCACTTAGGACATCTGTCATTTAGTGAGAACTGGGTTAATAGTACCTTGGACTCCAGTTCTGTGTTCCTGCCCTTGACTAGCCGTCTTTGGGAGTCCGTCTGATATTTGTACTGCATTTCAAGAGAGTCGAGAGTGTCACAGGCACAGACAGCAGAAGCCTATAATAATGTTATCACGACGTCTAACACTTGCATGTCGCTGCCTGCTGAAACGTGACCTGAGTGAATGTAAAGAAAAACCACTTGTGCCCTGTAACTATTTTAGCACACAGACCTTCAGGAATTAGCAGCTGGATGTTAAACTTCTACTAGCCCCTCTGTCTCACTAATGTTGGAGAATAACCTTGCATTCAGATAAAAGCTATCTTCCCTTATACAGCACGTTTCCCATTAGGGCGATGCAGACCAGTCTCTTGTCACTTCAGTATTATCATTACAGCCTCTATTGACAGATGTTCTGCTGTAAAACAGCTGCTCCAGCTGTGAGCGGAGAGAAATAGGCCAAAATTTATCACACCCAACATTAATAACCATCCATGACTAGTACCAGTGCCAACTGTAACATAATGCTCACCCACTAGATACCAGCCTACTTGTGTAAAGCGTGCTTGGTCTGTGTGTGTTAAACGAGCTGGTTTTGCACTCTTTGAAATTGTACTGTTAGGGATTTGAGAACGATACATGTTGTTAATGTGTAAACTGACCTTGCTCTTCCTCCTTTGCTCAAGGTGAGTCTTGCTCGCTGCCTCATTCGGTTTCCTTGTTTTAAAATGGAAAGAGTTTAGCAACCGGCCTTTAGGAGCAGCTGAAGGGACCTTGTCAGGTCTGAAAAATTAAAATGCTTCTTCAGTATGCGCTGGCCACGATGGGCAGGCTTTGCAACTGCATGTGCATCTTTTTAAAATGCTTCCCCCTCACAACCCCCACCCCGATGTGGGACAAAACTCAGCAGATCTGCCACTTTCTGCTTAAATCTTGAAAAACTGCTCTCTCTGGTTCTTCGCCAAGCTGTTTTAAATTAGCTCGCAGTGAATTTAGGCCCTGATCCTATGACTCTTGTACACATGCTTACCTGGAACTCAAACGACAAAGGTAAAGCACGTGGCTGGAGGGCAGGAGTCATACATTTTAAAAAGCATCGATGAGGAAACAAGTCAGCTCTAACTTTGGCACTGCCGTTCACGGCAGTCATCAGACCGTTACCTGTTGTTCACGTCCGCTTTCCTGCATATGAAAATATTGCGTCTGCTTCATGCAGGAAAATACTCTTGGACGCCCGTTTCACTCGACCCGTTTTACTGGAGAAGCAGGATTTGGATGAGGCTAAATCCATTTAAAGAAAAACACCGTGGTCTGTTTGATGCCTTCAAGCCAGAGCTGGCCTCTTCCTGCTTCTGAAGTCAGCAGCTCCTCATGCTGCAGTTTGAGATCTCTCCCTGTCAAAAATCAAGTAGTTCATGATGTTGACTGGCCTTTTATACTGGTAAAGAAGTCTTGTCTACCTACTTCCTTGTCACCTGCCTCTTTGAAAGTCTAATCAAATCCTTACCAAAAATAAACCAGTCCATGGCATGAGACTCGTGAAGTTTTTAGGAAGTTTTAATTAAAGCTTTACATGTTTCAGTGGTCATTGTCGTTAGTGAGCTCACAGTGCTGAAGAGGCAAGATTCTCATCATGGCTTTTTTTCTCTGCAGCTTTACAGGCAGGTGGCTTGTGTCATTGAATGCCCCTTTTCTCCTGCATAGTTTAACAACGCAGTCTTGTGTTAAAACTATAGGTTTTAATTACAGCAAGAAATTCACTGTACAGAAGTGCTGCGACTAAACTTTGTAGTCAAGTGCAAAAGAGCCAAGTTCGGCGTAAGTGTGCTGTTGGTGTTGGAAGCGAACGCCAAAAAATTTGCTAAATTTAGCTATTGCACTGGAAAATTAACCCAGTGACCTACATTTTGTTTCTTACCCATTTCCCAAAGCTAGAAGAAATGCAGAGGCAAAAGAAAGGGGTGCATGCTCAAGGCCCGGCAGTCGAAAGGTATCTCCTGCCTGAACTAACTCTGAAATACCTACGCTCGGTTCCTAGCAGGAGTGGAGGTGCTGCAGCAGGGAGCAGAGCCCAGGAGACCCACCCAAGCTTCCCGGCGGGTTCCTGAGCTGCACGCTGCTAGATCCCTGCTAATTAGTACCTAGTTAAGTTCAGGTAAGTGTCACGTGAGTCGCAATCACAGCTTTGACTGCTGCGTAGACCTTCATCAGCTGGGAGCGCTGGGGTCACATCCAGGTGCCAGCTCCATGCTTGGCAGTGCACGGTCAACCTTTAGCAGTACAACCTGTGCATAAAGACTCGCTTGTCTCTCGAGCCCTAAAACTGGTGCAGCTCTAGTGGCAGATACGAATTTTCCCTTCCTGTTTAGCAACAAGTGACACCCAGCTCAACTGTCGATTTAAAAAGCCAAATATAGTGGTAGAAAAATGTGTCCATTAACCAGGTGATAGTGTGCCTTTCAGCTCAGCGCAACCAAAAACACAAACCAGCCCCACACACGGCTTTATTCCAATGCCAGAAACTATCGAGTGGAAACAAGACCATGTTAAGAGGTGTTATGTGATGGAAGTATTTAGGCCTCATTCTGCATGCCCTGTTCTCATTTACAGCGGTGCAAAGCAGGGGAGAAGGCTCCCAGTTTAGTTAGCATCACACGCTGCTCAAGTGACCAGATGAAGTGATGTGGGTCCCAGGTCCCCTGCTAGCAAGTCAGGGTGCGTGAAACGTTGCACCTTGATCTTTGCAGTATTTCCAGCCAAATAAGACCACACAAATTCTCTTAGTTAATGTACCCACCACCCCCCGGCCCCTCACTTCAAGAAAGGCTACATGGATCATTCTGGATTTTGAACACCAGCCTTTCTGTTGCTGTCACTGCCAGTTTAGAAGTGCATGGCTAACTCCAGCAAGCCCACGCCAAAAGCAAAATCCGGCCTTAGAAAAAGCTGGCGCTCCTCAATGAACGGTGACTTAACTGCAAGGTTGTTCTAGATTTCTTCCACCCATTTCAACGTGCATTTGAAAGAGGCCTCTCTCCATGTCCATGGTAGGAGAAAAGGAGCAAAGCAACCCCTGTTACCCTGATCCCCTATAGACCCTTAGGGCCTTAACAGGCAACTAATCCCACTGTTAACTGCACACCGTCAAGCACTGCAGACGTCTTCAGGATCAGGCTCCCAGACTAGTTGCCCCCTATTAAGAGAGATGGACAGGAAAGGGCACGGGGAGGAGAGAAGCAAAGACTGAGGATTGGGGGCAGCGGCAGTCCATCAGCCTGGCTTCTACTGGGAAGCACGCTGCAAAGAGATTAAACCCTGGAAAGCCACACTACGTAAATCACTGCTCTGTAAATCCTCAGAGAACATCCTACCTCTGGATTACTGAAAAGCATGGGGAGCTGCTGCTGAATGAGACATGGATACTGGCTAAATACTCTGCCAAAAGGCAAGTCCACTCCTTTTCAAAGCACTCATCCTAATAACCTCTCTGCTGGATTTTGCTTTTTCTGGTTAAAAGGCACACTTTGAAGTCTTGCCTATCCCTCCTATTTACTGCCTACTACACTCAAAGGGCCAAACCTGTTTTATCCTCCTCTTCATCTACAAGCAGCCATCGCCTTACAATCCAATAACGGTCACTTTGATCACGCTTTACTGTCCTGAAGACAACTGCATCTTCCCTTAATGCTGAGAAAGCAGCAAGCTGCCGACGCAGCACTTCCGAGCCTCGAATCAGGTTGGAAAAAGCACTTTAGAAAGAAAAGGATAAAGGTAACTTAGTACTAAGCAGAACTGATTTTTCCAATGCTGCATCCATCCACCGGCCAGCCTGGCTCCATGCAGTCTTCCTTGCCCCGATGATCGCTTGGAGGATTAGATTCAAAATGCCCTTCAGAAGCTGGGTAGCAACAGGACACTTAAGCCTTATGAAAAACTGGCCCATCACAACCCTAAATACACCCACGTACGTCTACGTACGATTCGTCCCATGTCCTACAAACCCACAGTCTACTAAAATGCAGCTAGTTTTTAAAGCACTCGCCTAAAAGGCAGGGCTAAGAGAAGCAGTTACAGTTTGGGGGGAAATGGATCAACACAAAGACTTGGACCGAGTAACGGGGACCAGCACCCTTGTGCAGGGAAGCCCCACGTGTCCGATTCATGTCGATCTAAACAGGACGCAACCCTTTGCAACACGCCGCAGGGAACTCCCTCCCATAGGGCACTGCCTCTCGACAGCACGGACCCTACGTTCCAGTGGCTCTCGAGTGAAATGACGGGAGCAACCCAGCGGCGTTTCACTTCTTCTCCAGGAAGGGGCTGAAGAGCCCCCATTCGAAGGCCAGCATGGCCTGGGGGTTCAGCCGCTCTTTGGGCTTCTTGAAGTTGTCCTTTTCCGTGCGGAGAGCGCGCAGCACGTCCACCGGATCCGTCTTGCCCGTGAACTTCTGCACGGCTTCTTCCCTGCCAGAGAAAGGCCATTTAGGGTGCTGCAAAAGGTACAGCAGCTCTTAGCAGCCTTGCTGCAAGTCTGTGCAGGATTTTGGCCATCTGTGGCTTCCCCCAAGAGGGATGGGGGCAAAGTCTGCCTGCGGTTGGTCTCTCCCCACCGCCCTTTAATGGAGGGAATAGGCAACCAGCAGAGAGGGTGCAAACCTCTGTAGACAGGACCGGGCAGGGACGAGATCTCCCAGAGGTGAAGAGACCCGAGAGAAGCCCCCGGCCTTCGCCTGATGCTTTTCCCACTAGCAAGAAAGCAGGGAACGCTGCCTTTTATCTCCCTACAATATACATCACCCGAGGGCTAAACCCAAGCCAAGCCCCGAGGCCCGTGTGCTACTCACGAGACCCGCAGGAAGGGGTTGTACTGGAACTCCTCCTGCAGCGTGGAGGGCACCGTGGGCAGGTCCTCGTCATCGCGGAGCTGGGGGGAACCACAGGCTTCGTTAGGCAACATCCCCGATCATCAAGCGCCCACGTGGGAAGCAGACGCAGGTGCCGAGAGGCGCCCCAACCCCACGGTGACAGGCGCAGAGGCCGATTCGAGGGGAAACTCATCTAGCGCTCACCGCCCCCTCCCTGCTCGGGGGAAACGGACGCTTACTTTGGCCCACGCGAGTTTCTTCTTCACGTTTTCGTTCTCTGGCTCCACCTTCGAGGCGAACTTGAGGTTTCGGACGGCGTATTCGTGCCCGCAAAACACCTTCTGCAGCACAAACAGGACAGCACAGCCTTTGCAATGCCCACGTCTCTTTAATGCGCTGGGTTTGGCTCAAAGCAACCAGCACGTGCTGGAAGCAGGCTGCCTGAGCCGAGCCGCGGGCGGGACGGCGGTAGCTGCGGTACGGGCCTCTGCGCTGGATCTCTGTAGCCAGCGCCCCTCCGGTGAGGACACGACGGTGGACAAGAGCTGCTAGAGGAGAGCTCTAGGCTTGGCGCTCAGTCACAGAGCACCTCGGGCTGCTTCATGGACACAGCACTATGCCCTCGAGCCAAGGACAGGCCTGGTGCCTTGGCGCAGGTCATAGCCGCCGGGCTGGCTCGTGCCACGCAGGGAAGGTGCTGCCGAGCGGCGTCACCCCTCCCAGAGACAGGCCAAACCAGCTGGCAGGTGCATGGGCTGCATCACCAGGAAAACCAGCTCACAGGGCACTCGGGTTTCCAAATCCCAGGGGTTGGCGACATGCACCCGGGGCGCAGAAGCCAGACGGCCACCCCCTCTCAGTGTCAAGCCTCTCGAGTGCTTTTCCCTCCCGTGGGCATAGGCACCTTCTTCCAGGCAAGGGGCCGTCTTTGCCCAGCATCCTCAGGAAGGGCCGTGGGACAGCGTGTCCAAGTGACACGTGGCAAGGAGAGACTCCAGAAGGAGCGAGGCTCTCCAAAACGGCCGGAGCCGCCACAGGACATCCTTGCCTGCCTGCTCCAAGAGCCAGGTGGAGACGGAGCAAATCAGAGGGACGGACCGACCGACCGAGCGCGCGCAGGCTGCCGTGGGGACCATGCTCACCGTCTCCTTCGGCAAAGCCGCCAGGACATCCATCAGGTTTTTGTACATCTGCTCGGCCGTCCCTTCGAAGAACCGCCCGCAGCCGCCCACGAACAAGGTGTCACCTGGGCAGGGAAGATGCATCGTCTCGAGCGAGCGAGCTCTGTCTCCCCACGCCAGCAAGGGAGGTGGGAAGCGTGCAGGCAGAGGGAAGCCAGGGGTGCTACCATAGCCATCTACCCCAAGCTGTCCATCCAGGCCTGGACCTGGGACTCGAGAGACCTGGGTTCAAGTCCCGGTTTCACCGCAGATGCCTTGTGCAGCCTTGGCCAGGTCGTTTAGTCTCCTCTGTGCCCAGGTTCCCCATGGGTACCGTGGGGGTGATGCTTCCCTACCTCACAGGGGTGCGAGAGGAGTTGAGATACTCCGGGTCAAGGGCCAATACCTGAGAACAGCGCCGGCGCATCCGGGGAGTTATCTTCCCACATGAAGTAGCACGTGTGTCCCGATGTATGGCAGGGGGTGAAGAGGCATCTCACATTAATGTCTCCAAACTGCAGAGGCAAAGAGTCAGTCAGGGCAGGAAAAGCAGAGCCCAGTTGTGTTATTTCTGGTTATTATTTGTACTGAGGTAGCCCCAATCATGGGCCAGAAGCCCTTGATGCTGGTCCTGGTCTGGGAGCACGTGAGAGCCAGTTTCTCACAGTGGAGAAGTAGTTCGTGGTTTGGCCCAGACCGCATTTGATGAGCCATGCCTCGCTGACAGCAGCTACACGGCCTGAGCAAGAAACAGGCCACCAAAAGATGAGAGGGGAGAGATGAGAGACGTCCCATGGACAGGCGCAGAAGAACAGGCTCCCGTTCCCCTACCGGCAATGCCCAAGACACAGGGCAACCAGCTGAAATTATGCTAAGCGGCACGTGGCAATCTCCCTTGTCCCAACGTTTCAGAGTATCGCAGATACTCAGATTCGCGGGCAGGACCATGACAGATGGGGAGACGGTGATTAAGACTGAAAAGCGCCTGTCTTTCTGTGCCTGTAGTACATGTAAACTCAGCTATACGCTTCAGCCACATGATCTGTTCTGACCGGAGACAGGCTGCAAAATCCTGATGCAGACCCAGCTGGATCTCCCACCCAGGGACGGGGACGGTTCATGAAATGCAAACGGACGCTCAGTTTGCAAGCAGCATCTCCAAGCAAAGCTTTGCAATGTATGCAGGCAGCTCGGTCCCCGCTGCCCCGGTTCCCTGGTGAGATGCTGCCACCTATTGACATTGGAGAGATTTTTGCTGCTACTTTTTATCGTCATCCGACCTCTTGCAATGCAGGAGATTCCCATGAACACAGGGTCCTGCACAGACCCACACAAAGATGCGGTCAGCAGCAGAGCAGGTGTAGCCCCGCCTGTCTCGCTGCTCCCCTCCTAAACACGGGTTCACACCGACAGAAAAAGCAAACGTATTCAAAATAAGTGCACAGCGGGTTCAAAAATAAGCCCCTTCCCGTGCTCGCAGCCTGTCTGCGGGCAGCTCTGTTCACTACGGTTTGCAACGAGCTCCGAGATCCCCAGCCGACGCAGGAGCTAAGCTACAACACGCGCCGACGTACCTTTAACACCTCGTTGTGAGCCACCTTGTTTGTCAAGGCCCCGATCCGCTCGTCAGCGCCATATACACGCAGGTCTGGATACAGCTTCGCCAGCTCCTCGTTCCCTCGGGCATGGTCCCTTTACAGACAAGGAGGGAGATTAGCACCTCTGCAACAGACTCCTGGTGTGCTGATACCCTAGGGAGGACGCAGCGGTCAACTCCACCTTGCTTTGTGCCTGTCCTGCTGCTTGCGCCTTGGCATGTGTTTTGTGACATGGAAACTCGTGGTTTCCAAGCGTGCAATCAGCCCTGGGACACGGCAGTTCATCCACGTGCATGCACAGAAGAGTCAATGGTGTTGGACTCAGCCCTGGGAAAGACTAAGCGTGCTCAGCTCCCAAGAACAGGTCGTATCACGTTGATGCAATAACCCTCGTTGACGCGGGATGTGACATACCTGCATTTCAATAAGGCTTTTGGCGCAGTCTCACAGACCCTTCTTTGCAGCAAGCTGGAGGAATGGAGCTAGCTAGAATTACCATTTGCTGCATATGTCATTGGTTGAACAACCCACAAGCAACGTGAGCTATAAATGGGTTGATGTCAGACTGGCAAGAGGCCTGAAAAGGGTTCCCCTATGAATCTGCTCCGGATCTGCTGTTTAATATGTTTTATTAATGACTTGGATGCAGGAAGAGAGAGTCCACTGATGCATCCCGCAGACAACATGGATCTAGAGGGGCTGCAAAACACTTTGGAGGGCAGGATTCGCATCCAAAGGGGGCCTGATTAGGGGCTGTGGACAACAGGCCAGAACTCATCCAAGTTGCTTGCACACAGGGTGCTACACAGAGAGGACAAAAACAAACCCTAGCTGCACAAATAAAGAACAGGAGATAGCTAAGAATCGGAGGGGAAAGGCAAGCTCAGTGCCTGCCAGCAGAGATGATGTTGCAATAAAGGAAATGCAATGCTGCGCTGCACTGATGCAGACAGCACAAGGCATGGGAGGTGACCAGTCAGCACTGGTTAGGTCTCAGCTGGGGCACCACGTCCAGTTCTGGGACCACGTACGTACGACAACGTAGCATACTGTGCACCCAGCGTAGCACGTAGACATACTGCACGCTGTAGGATGTGGTGACAGAGGCTGACCAAGAGGTAACGAGGCTGACAAAGGCCAGGAGCTCCGATTAGACAAGAAAAACCTCCAGGATCCAGTATGTTCAGTGTGGAAAGAAGTTAAAGGAGAGAGGGGCTTGCTGCAGGAGGATGGGCCTCTCCCTCCCTGTCAAGAGCTGTAGGACTGCAGAAGGAGCTGCCCAAGGACGCTATCAAACCTTTGCTGGCGGTCTCCAAGCAGAGCCTGGACAGACGTGGCTGGGATGAGGCAGGAACAGCCCATCCTGCATCCGTGCAAGGGCTGGACTAGATCAGGGCAGCCAACCTGCGGCATAGACACCACAAGCGACACAGGTGGCCCCTGCGAGCGGCACACGGTGGATCGGAAGCATAGCAGCAAACAGGGCAGGGAGCAGGAAGCAGAGCAGCGTATCAGGCAGGGAACACGGGGCTGGGAGAAGACAAAGAAGCCATCGGGCAGGGGACAGGAACTGGAGTGGAGGGGACAGGGCTGATTTGTGGCACGCCTGCCAAAAAGGTTGGCAGCCCGCACTGGACTAGATGATCCCTGGGGTCCTTTCCTGCGACATCAGCCCTTTCATACGTACGGCAGAGTGCTGCTCTGTCGTGCGAGCAGAGATTTGGGCAGACCCACCTCTAACCCCAAGCCCCACGAGGCAAAAGCCTGCAAAACATCCCTCCCCACGGCACTCACCAGTGGTGATGGGTGGTCAGAATGGCCTTCAGGGCTACGCCTTCCTTCCTGATGATTTCCAGCAACTAAAATGAGAAATAAAGTCATTCAAGAAGACAGGGAAGTCAGACCCCCATGATCCATCCTTGCAGAGCCTGAACCACATCTGCTCTGTGCAGCACTAGCATCACCGTGCCGATCCCATGCACCAGCTCTCGGAGACTCTGGATCATAGGCGATGGGTTCATGCTAACGGCGCCAGGCTGCAAAAAAGAGCGTACCCACCCCCTGTATGTAAAGGACTAGGTGTATCTATAAAGGGCCCCAATTGCAGGAATCGAGGGGCAGGCTTTCACAGCAGCTTTGGCTGGGAAATGCATCATAGTTTATCAGTCCAAAGGTAAATTGGTACAAGGGCGGTGCTGATACTGCAAGAAAACAAAGCAATGAACGTGTGCTTTGCCCTTGAACCGGAGCACAGAGCACGCCCTCCGGCTCCAGATTTCACCCCCGTCCTGGGCACAGCCCCGAGAACATCGCAGAAAGCAACTTGCTCCGCGCGGGAGGTTGCACAAACTCTCGCAAGCCGCCTCGCTGCGAGATCCACTCCGTGTTAACGGACACACCAGACCCGGGGAACACGCAATCTTTGCCAGGTGCAGCTCCAAACAGGCACCTCGTTTTAACCCTTCCCAGCACAGATGAGAACAGAGACAGCACGGCAGATTCGCACCTTACAGACCGACTTAATTACAGATCGATACAGTTAATTTAGTGTAGTCTACAGGGGGCAAATCTATCCTGCCTTCGGGCTAACACGGCGAACTACCTCTTGGTCGCAGAGACACTGTTGTATCAAGTGACCAGTTCCACGTCCCCTTTTGCAATTGCATTTTATGGCCCGCTTCTAAATGTCTGCAAACCCCTGCCATGCCACTGAAGGCTTCTCCAAGGTGGGTAAGTCCAGTGGGTGGGAGAAGGGGCACTTTTTAAAGCCAATGTAACGTTCCCTGTTGATACCAAATCCTCTGGGCTGTCCCTGATCAGACCTCAGGTCATGAAATTGGTACGATCTTTCTGAGCCAGCATCGGTCGCTGCCAAGACGTGCCAGTTTGCCTCGACACAGGCAGCACTTGCTGTGGGGGAAGGGGCAGGCGGCGTGAGGCTATAACGGGAGCCCGGCGCCCACGCTGAACTTCCCATTAGGTGCAATCACTGCAAGCGCGGAGCAGGCCGCACAGGTCGGCATCACTGCTCTAAAGCCACCGGCAAGTCGTTAAGGGGACGAGGCATTCCTCCCTCCTCTTCTTCACCAGCGATACAGCAAATGCAGAAGTCACGAGGCTGGCTTCAAAAAAGAAAGTGGAGATCACGGGGTTTAAAACGAGCTAGCGGGTTCTTCTCGTTCGCCTCCCGGCTTACAAACCTGGAGGACTGGGCTCTCAGGAAGAAAGAGGAGCAGGCGGTTTCGCTGGCAGAGCTCGGCCGAGGGTCTCTCGCGCACATCCAGGAGCTGGGAGACCCCAGGTCACAGGTGCTGACGAAGCCGGGGGGGCTTAAGACGACAGACACATGGAAAGCTTTACACGTTTCAGGTGGCAGCGCTCCTGAAATCTCCGGGAATCACATTTGCACACGTAGCGGTGCCGACACCGCGTGGCACCCTCGGGAGAGTCTGACGTGGACCCCGGTTGAGAACTGCTGCGCTCCTCACTCGCCCCGCTCCTGCGCTAACGCACGACCCTCCGGCCCGGTGTCCCGGCGCCTCCAGGGAGGAGAGCTGACCCCACGCGTCGTTTCCTGCTCAGGGTTTAAGACCAGGTTTGCTTGCTCTATGAGAGGACTACAAAAAGGCTGCCCCAAAACCTAACCCTGGGCCACGAACCCTCAACAGCAGCATCACTTAACAACAGGCAACTGGAAACACACCCGAAGGCCCCGGCTCCCGACTAGATCCGTACCCCCCCCCATAACTATAAATGGACCTGCTGCCTCTGGATTCAAACCAGAAGCTTTCTGCCGCGCCGCCCTATAAAATCCCGATTCAAGGCAATGGGTCCAAAAGCAGCGGGAGGCCGAGTTACCCTCTTGGGAACGGCAGCGTCCACGGCGACCGCCTCCTTGGTGCTTTCCTCAATGACCAGGTACATGTAGTTATCTTCCAAGATCGAGATCACCTTGACCTTCATGGTGCGCGGAGGGCGAGGCCGAGTGCACGGGCTGCAGGGGAAAACCAACACCGTCAGGTCGGGCTCGGGCCGAGCCGGCTCCCGGGCAGCGCTGGCTGGCTGGGCTGGGCTGGGCACAGCACCCGGCCCCAGGGCAGCTCCTGTCCCAGGGGCGCACGCCCCCATGCAAGGCCTCGCTCCAGCC